TATAGCATGTGTTCACAAATAGCAAGGGCCTTAGAAACATGGCTGTGGGTTTATTTCATCAGAAATCCATTCATTATCATTCTTTTCCTGCCTCTGAACATTTCATAAATCTATTGAAATAAACATACTGGAAGAAAAAATTCCATTACCAATGCCTGTTGTGAGTCTTTACAAACGTATTGTCTAATACTGGATGTCACATTATAGTGTACTCCAATGAGTAGCAACATGTTTTAAAAACAGTCTGTGAATGATTATAAATAGAACAATTCTTTGCAGGCACTTTTAAAAATAAATTTATGGGTAAAGATGGCAATTAGTTAACAAGATCTCCTTATTCTTGCATAAGTAAACATATGGATTTCACTGCCAGGAAACCAAAATTGTTGGGTTTTAAAGTTCCTTTCTAGATTTCACAATTTCTAAGGATATTTATTTATTTATTTATTTTTTGTTACAGATATTTCACCTTTTTTACCCCATTGGCACCCCCCTCCCCACCCCACCTCTGCCCCGTCCCTGGCTTAGTTGTCCATGTCCATTGGTTATGCATACATGCATATAAGTTCTGTGGTTTATCTCTTCCCACCCGCCCCACCCCCTCTTCTGAGGGATGTCAGTCTGTGCCCTACTTCCATGTTTCTGGGTCTACCCTATTCCTCAGACTGTTATGTTCATTATATTCCGTATATAAGTGAGATTATGTGGTATTTGTCTTTTTCTGCTTGGTCTAAGGCTATTTTTATGGTGAGAATGATAAAGAGATGTGTGAGGACAAATGCATTTTCAACTGGGGAAAGAAAAAAATGTGAAGGATTACAAGAGTTCACTTTATTATGAAATGTATTAAAAAGACCAAGAATGGACTCGCGTAAATTATAAAGTACTTTCAAGCAAGGCCCTGTCAGTTTTCCAGTTTCTGAGGCAGAAAGTACTTTGGGTGATCTGTATGCTTCATGTTGATGTGATGCACAGAATGAAAAGAATTTCTTTTTTATTCCTGGCACACATAATATTGTAATAACAATTTAAATAAAGCAAATAAATAAAGAGTTCAAAAATTCCATTTGAGTAGATAACTTCTTTTCACTGTATTTATATGTGTTTTCTTTTTTAAAAAATAATTATTATTTTACTTTTTTAGTCCTCACCTGAGGATATTTTTTTATTTATCTTCTGAGAGAGTGGAAGGAAGGGAGAGAGAAAGAGAGAAACATCGATGTGAGAGGGACACATCAACTGGTTGCCTCCTGCACGACCCTGACCAGGGCTGGGGACAAACCACAACTGAAGTACGTGCCCTTGGCCGGAATCGAAGCCATGACTCTTTGGTCCACAGGCTGGCGCTCTAACCGCTAAGGCAAACCAGCCAGGGTAATGTGTGTTTCCTTTCTTGTCCTTGTCTATATGTACACATATTCTTTCAATCACTCAAGAAATAGTTGCTGAGCACCTGTGTATGCCTGCCACTGCTACAAACATTAGGGTACCATAGTGAACAAGACAAAAATGTTTAGGTACCTGTTGTTGTGTATCTTGCATTCCAGTATAACTTCAGTAAACAATCAAATAAAGAAAGAAAAGCATCAGACAACAAGTAGTATGCTGAGAATTAAAATATGGGGTTATATAAATATATAAAATTATAGCATAAATTTAAGTTGAAGTTCAGCTTTTTGCTTAACACTGTCCAATAAACTCCTTTGTCCACTGCTACATAATCTCCTCTACCTGTAACCAACAATTATGATTTAATTTATCTGTTCAACAATATTTATTGAGCACTAACTATATGTCAGGTATTATCTTAGGCACTGGGGACACTGGTAAGCAAACACAAATATTCTCATGGAAATTACTTGCATTATAGTATCCAGAATATAGGATGATAAATTAGTGTAGGTAGTTTCAGCATAGTTTATTACAAACAACTCAATTTTATGTTAACACCATATAGAATAAATGTTAATCTACTAAGTATAGACTTTTGTCTCCACTCTAACTAATACTTTCATTCTCAATTTATAACTGATTGATAAATATTTTCTAGCTCCTAGCCTTATCTACCTAATACAATATACTGTCTGGCTTAGTACATTATGGCTATGGTTTTAATAGGCTTCATAATATTTTGTTGAGTTTTATCTCATTTTATTCCACATTTTTTTTATTATTGGACACATTCTTCCTAAACACTTTATCACTCTCATTTATACACATAGACTTTTTGATTTTTATAAAAAAAATAACATTACTTTTCTACCCCATCTCTTCTTTGGCATGCCCATTCAAAAGCAAACACTGTTCTGAACGTTGTGTCTATTATCCAGTTACTTAGATAGTTTTAAAATTTTTATCACATATTATGCCTAAATCATATGGTGGTGGGTTGTACTTGATTTTAAATTTTATTGAAAGTATCATTCCATTTATTATCATCTGACATTTACTCTTTTGACTCAACACAATGTTATAAAGATTTATTCATGCTGTTTGTATGTGACCATCATTCACTGATTTTTTATTGCTCTATGATATTTTATTACATGTTGTGTCTATACATATTTATTTATCTATTCTCTTGGCTATGATCATTTAGATATTCATAGTTTTTGTTGTTACAGATAGTGTACATATCTCCAGGATAGTTGTACTAGTATTTTTTTGCATATGGTGGAGTATTTACCTAGGAGGAAAATTGCTGGATTGCAGGGTTAAAAATGTTCATTTTTTAAAACATAATGCCAAAGTGGTAGATAGTGATGGTACAAATTTATACTTTTAGCAGCAATATATAAAAACTTACATTGCTCTATGCAGTCCATATAACACTTGGTAATTATAGACTTAATTGTTGCTAATTGATTAGGTACAAAATGGTTATCTGATTATAGTCTTTATTTGCATTTTCTGATTAATACAAAGGCTGGGAATCTTTTTTTCTAGCCACTTGTTTCATGATTCGTGATATACCTGTTTGTTCATTTTCTATCGCTTTCTGCTTTTTTCTTATTGATTTATAGGTGTTCTTTATATACCCCTGATAAAAAGTTTTGATCTTTTGTAAATTATACATTCTTAATTCTTTCTCAATTACCTTTGTGACCAATTTCTCCCAGATTATAGCTTTCATTTTTTTTTTTTTTAACATTCCTTAAGGTATCTTTGGATAAAAAATGTTTTCTTAATTTTACTTAATTCTATTTTTTTCAAAAATTTTTTTATAATTACTTCTTTATATTTCTCCTTTAAGCCCTTCCATACTTCAAAGCCTAGAAGAACTTCACCTATATTTTATTATATTTTAATGCTTTGCTTTTGACATGAAGAACTTAAAGTATATGGAGTTTTATTTTTGTGTAATGTGTATGGTAGAAGTACACTGTAATGCCTTTTTTTCTTATAAATAATCATTGTTTCCAGGTCCATTTGCTGAACAGTCTCTTCTCTTCACAGTAAGTAATCTGCCATGCTACCTTTGATATACATCTACATTCCACTTATTTGTGGATCTCTCAGTGTGCTCTCTTCTTCAGTCTTGTATTTATTTGGGTGTTAACTACAGATAACCCTTGAACAATGCAGGGGCTATGGGCCCTGAACTTATTGTAGCTGAACATTGGCATATAACTTTTGACTCCTCCAAAACAACTGCTAATAGCCTACTGTTGATTAGAAGCCTTACTGATAACAGTCGATTAACACATATTTTGTAATATTGTATTCTTAACAAACTAACCTAGAACGTGTTATTAAGAAAATCATAAGGAAGAGAATACATTTACAATACTATACGTATTTATTGAAAAAAATTCACATATAAGTAGATCCGTGCAGTTCTAACCCATGTTCAAGGGTTATGCACAGACTAATGTTGAAAGTGTCTTATGAATCAAAAATCATTATTAATCCAAATTCGTGGACATGATGTCCATAATAGAGATGAAAGAAAGCAATAAATAATGCTATAAAAAGCAATATTATGCATGTTTTTCTTTTATTTATTTCTTAAGGACAAGTTCCAAGTAGTGAATGACTGAGCCAGTGGGAACAAAAGATTTTGAGAAGTTGTGAATCTACAACTTAAATGCTTTCCAAAAGGGAACATTCATATTCACTGTTTGTGGCAAAGTGCCTAGCAGTTAAATTCATAGCTCTGCTCCTTCTGCAGCCAAGGTTTTCATTTCTGCCACACCCCTTGCTGTGTTGCCACAACACTGATCTTTGTCTTAAAACCACTAAGAGACAGTGTATTTCCTCTCACACCTGTCAGCACCGCTACAGCAGACATGGTAGCTGCTAGTTGGCCGGATTCAAAGTAACAAAATATTTCTGTGCCTCACACTGGGCTCCCTCTTTCATTTTTATTAGTGATATGTATATTCTGCTAAAATGCTCTTTCCCTGGATATACTCAAAGCATGCATGTTCACCTTTATTACTTATAGCTTTACTTAGACGTCACCTTAAATTTAAGGTCTTGGGGTAGGGGGGTTGAGAAGAGATAAACCAAAGAGCTTATATGCATATATGCACAACCAATAGACACAGACATATGTTTGGGGGAAGCAGGAGAAAGATGGGAGCGGGGAGGAGGAAGTAATGGGGGGGAAATAGGGGGACATCTATAATAATTTCAACAATATAAATAAATAAATAAATAAATAAGTAAATAAATAAATAAGTAAATAAATAAATAAAAGGCCTTACTCTATTTAAAATGGCAACGCACTCTCACTCTCTATTCTCATGGTCTCCTTTTGCTGCTTTATTTTTCCTGTCTCACTCATCACCACTTGTCTGTCTTTTCTCCACCAGAATCTCGAACTTCCATCTGTTTATTCACAGATGTCTGCCCAGCTCCATCATCAATGCTTTAAACATAAATGCTTTGTAACTATTTATTAATATCATTATAAATGAAGCACATAGATGTTACTCAATAGATGTGTTGGATGAATGAATGAGGCCTCGAGGACTAAAAGATGCTCACCGTGAGACTCACAGTTTTTGGTATCTTTCCACTGGAGGCCCAGGAGTAGTTGAAGCCTGGGGTAGTCACCTTGGAATTGCTAGTTGTAGGACAAAATTTCCAGAATCCAACTTTTTCATAAAGCTGTAATTTAACTTTGCTTTGATCTGTTGAATTTTTCATCTATGTGACTTTGGGGAAATCTGAAAATTGAAAATATGCTTCTCTATGCAGGAACAGTAGCTGGTATAGTGAGCAAAAGTTCTACAGCTTATGTTTAATGCCAACTTGTCATGATTTGTTTTCTTTTTCTGTTCTTGCACCCAACTCAGATCACTGGGAGCACTGTGAAGATTACTTAACTATTCCCTTAAAATCGCATGACAAGTAACAGGTATAGTATAATAACAAATCACCTGCCCGTATTTTTAAGATTAGAGTGATTGTCATATCAATAGGTAGTAACCAGATTACAAATTAGAACAAGTAACTCAAACCCAAAATCGCAACATCAAATGAGGAAATAGAGCCTTTTGACCAAACCTCAACATTATCGTGTCTGTGGTAAAACTTGTGAGCCTGGTATCTCTTTTGAATCATTTCAGGACAGCCTTGCTATACTCACCTTCAGGTGTGTTGCTTGCAGTCAGTGTGCTCACATTGACAGGGGCTGCTGAAGATGTAGCTGGATGTCCTATTCAGAAAACAGATTTTCCAAATTGTCACAGATATTTACATCCACGTGTTTAACTCTGCCACTGTGATTAACAAGGGTGGCGTGCAAAGCATGGAATATTAGAGCTGGAAAGAATCTTAGTGAATACATAGTACTCACTTCACTTTACAAGTTAGGCAACCAAGTCCAAAAGGTATATGCTATGGTTATATAATGAATATGCAACATCATTTATTTAATACTAACCTAGTTCTCCTAATGCCAAGTGCATTACATTCACACTTTCAAAATATGTTGTTACCATGTCTACTGTGCGCCAGACTCTGGTGTACATGCAAATAGCAATGGAGACAAGGCTCGCACTCTCACGGAGCTTATCTTGTGATGACTCTTCACAACTGTGTACAATATTTTAACATACTAAATAGGTTTTGTATTTTCATCGATTCCTTGCTTTCCAAGCCATCCCTATCTTTATAATTCATCGTTTCTCATTATCTTCCTCCTTCCCTTCCCTCTAAAATGAAAGATTATTTTATATTCATTTGAAAATATGAAAATATCTCTGTAGCCTGGCTGGTGTGCCTCAGTGGTTGAGCATTGACCATGCACCACGAGGTCTCTGGTTCGATTCCTGGTCAGGGCGTATGCCCAGATTGTGGGCCCAATCTTCAGTGGGGGGCGTGCAGGAGATGGCCAATCGATGTTCTCTCTCATTGATGTTTCTATCTCCCTCTCCCTTTCTCTCTCTCTAAAATCAATAAAATAAAATAAATGAAAAAAGAAAAATGTCTCTGCAGATGAAGCAATTTAGATTAAAGAAAAAAAAAAAACCTAAACATAGTTCATTGAAAATATATTATGTTTCTTGGAAGGACAAATTTTCAGTGTATTTTATTTATGTGGATTTCTCCTTTGTTCCAAAACATATTTTAGGTGGCTTACATAAATATGCAATGCAAGGAGATGAAAGAAATGGAGAGAAAGGAAAAATAAGGGCAAGACAAATATAGTTAGAAAAAGTATGTAGAGTCACTTTAAAACCTGAGGGGATAGTACACAAAATGCATTTCTTGATATCATGTACTCTTAGTAGCCGTGCACCCCACATTTGGTCAGACTTTTCTAGTAACAATGCTAAGAAATAAAGTATATATGTAATGCCACTGATGGACATAATAAGATAAAAAACAGTTTTCAGAAGAAACACAGCTATTCCTTTTATTGTGATTAAAAATAAATGTTTCTCCTGGCTTTCTAAAAAGAGTACTATATAATTTATACAAGATTCTCAATAATATCCTTACATTCTGACAGTCAGCATGCTCTCTTTATCTTTATTTTTTTATCCTCACCCGAGGACATTTTTTTATTTTTTGTTCAGATAGAGTGGGAGGGAGAGAGAAGAAGAGACAGAGAAACATCGACGTGAAAGGGACACATCGAGTGGCTGCCACCCACATGACCAACCAGGGCTGGGGACAAACTGCAACCAAGGTACGTGCCCTTAGCTGGAACTGAACCCAGATCTCTCCAGACGCAGGCCAACGCTCTAACCGCTGAGCCAAACCGGCCAGGGCCACCCTTTTTCTTTAAATAGCAGTGAATGGCATCCCAGCTCCCCAGGTACCTCAGTTCTGGGAAAGGGTGTGCCTTAAAATAGAAAACATGAGTAAGCAAATCTCTGAAAAAATATATGTAGGATAAATAAATAAATTGGCATTGTGGTTCGTGCATCTATAAGGAGTTCATATATAGAGATGATCAACCACAATCACTTTGCAATGCAGCCTACCAGTGAACACCAAAGATATACTCCACCCCAGCTCTATGAATGCAGTGTTAGAAGTTGCCTCAGGTCATGCTGTATGAGGAACTAAAATGGGCAGCTAGCATTAGGATGACCATAAAAAGTGTTTTAAAGACCGGATATGAATAGCTTTATTTATCCAACAAATACTGAGTGTATAGTGTGTACTAGAATGAGGGATGAAGTGAAGAGAAAAAGAAATGTTGCCTCAGCCCACGGAACACAATTTAGTGAGAATAAAGGTCAGTGTGGCAGACTACTGGCTGGTCACGGAAGCCAGTCCTCTTCTTTGTGGCAGAGACACAGTGAAGTACAATTTCTAGTCTCCTGTGTGGTTAGGTATGGTCTTGTATTGAGTCCTAGCCAATGAATTGTGAGTGGGAGTGAAGACTGTCATTTCAAGGCCTGACTTAGAAAGCCTCCCACACATGCTCCACCACGATCTTCCCTCATGTGCCATCCAGATCTTATGATGTAGGTAGACTTAAAAGCTGCTACTTAAAAGTGGCAAAGCTTCCAGCAGCCTGGGTTCTGGAATGACTGTGGAACAGAGCACCCAGCCACTAGCTTGGCCTTTCTTAATGATAAAGGGACTTAAATCACTTCCAGTGTAAATGAACAAAATAACATTTTGGAATTTATTGTTACTGTAGCTTGTTTCGCTTCTCTTGTAAACAGTAAAAACCTAATTGCAGTTCATGATGATAGCACCATCTGTGGTAGAGAAAAGACGGTGTACCTTGGGATTCCCAGGAGGGCCGGAAGTAGTGACAGAGCAACTAGGCCTGAAGGGTGACAGAAATTAGTAAGACAAGTTGGGAGTTGGGGGAAGAAAGAGGAGAAGCAAGGAGAAGAATGTTCCATGCAGTGGGAACAGAAAAGGTAAGAGAGCATGGATGCTACTTCAAAATGTTGGAGGCACTTTGTGCACAGTAAAGAGAAGCAGGTGAAGGAAGAAGGAGCTATATCCCAAAGGTCCCATGGAAGAAATAACTTTAAACTGGAACCTACAAGATGCTCTAACCTAAAGGTAAGTTAGTAGTGGCCTGAACTATATAGTGAAGGCCATGGGGATGAAGAGAAGTAGACAGGGTCAGAATGTGGACTCAACAAGGCTTGGTTAATGATTGGATATAGGAAAGAAAGAAGAAAGGGAAGCCAAAAGAACTCCCAGATTTCTGTCTTGGGCAGCTTTTTGGTTCATGCTATTATTAACTGAGTAAATAAATAGAGAAGAAGAAGTTTTGCAAGTGATGAGAGGCAAAAAGATGAACTGAATTTTGGACAAATTTATTTTGAGTACATATGAGACATTGCATTCCAGCAGAGGGTTGACCATGCGAGTTTGAATCTTAGCTGTGAAACTGAGATGCAAATAGACATTTGTGAGACACCAGCATGTAGACAATGAGTGGAGTAGCTTGAGTACCAGGGAGGGTGTGTCCAGGGAGAAAAGTGGGCCTAGAAACAATGAAGAATCCTTTCATATAATAGACTGACTGGCAGAAGAAAAGAAGACTGAAAAGGAGGACTCAGAGAGGCAGGAAGAAAGTGTATGGTGATAGAGAAGCCAAGGTGACTGAGGGTTTCCAGAAGCAGGGCAAATAATACAAGTCAGCAAATATTTGTCAGTGAACAATCTGTGCCTGTTGCTGGGTCAGTGGTGTCAAATACTGCCAAGGAGACAGATTTCCATATAGCTCTCAACTGCTGGGAAGCCACTGCATTAGACCCATCAACCTGTATACAAAGTCTAGGAGACAGATTTGCAAAGCACTTGAAAATTTGCAAAAGCATCGTAGATTATCTATTAAAAGCTGGAATTCCAGAGCAAGCCTCCCTGGGTTGAAAATCCTGGCTTAGTTCCAAGTTAGAGGTATGATTGGGAAAGTCTATTGCTTTTTTCTCTCTTCCTCCAATTCCTCACTTGTAAAATGGTACTTTTCTGGTAGGGTGATTGTAAAGATTGAGAGTCATTCCTATCAAGCTCTTAGAAGAGTGCCTGGCATGAGGCAAGTGATAAAAAGTATCTCAGAAGCTATAAAATAGGGCATCTGCAGGTTAGTTCAGGTGCTGAAGACACAAGCATATCCTGCCAACAGGAAACTTGAATTTCCTCATGAGTTTTACAGTTGCATCATTTCCCTTGGTCTTTCCAGGAGGCTATTCAACGTAACTAATCTCTCCTTCCCCAGGCTGGCCTAAGTCAAGAACTACATCCCAAAAGTCTGCATCAGAAAGGGGTAACTGGCAGGGGTGAAGAGAGTAGGAGCTTTCTGGGGCACTAGCTTTGTGATGGGGAAGTAATTTCTACTGGCCATCACCTACATCTCCTCTTTCACTTCACCGAACATGAGTAGTTCAGATGCTTATCTAGTCATTGTAAATTCTAGCTCACCACCTCCCACCACCCATCAAAGAGGAGGACCCAAGCAGTCTCTGTATCAAGATCAGCTATGTTTCTCCTGGAGTTACTGGTGGGTAATCATTTTATGAACCTATGGATCATAGAGCTAATTTGAATTTTATTTCTCTGATAGAGATGGCTTTATCTTTGTCCCTCTATAATAATTTCTTCAGCTACCTATTTTTAAAATTTTGTATTGTTATGTACTTTTTAAGTTATCACATATCCTTTTTAGAACAAGGAAAGGTAAAAAAAAAAAATGCAAAGAAAGCAATGACTAGCCATAAATAATCATTAGATACTGTGACTTACAGAGAGATATGCTGTGCTCCTCCTAATTAATACAGGAAGAAAGGATGAGAGAGGGAGTGGGGATAGGAAAAAGAAGACTCTATTCATGTTTTGAACAATTTTCGGAAGGATGAAGAAAATGATCCCTTTACCCTGAGACCCCCTTCCTCATGTGAGGCTTTCACTGACAGTCTGTAGTCTCTTATCTCCCCTCCCAAGGACCAGCATTCATTCATTCATTCATTCATTCATTCATTCATTCATTCATTCACTCACTCTTCCTCCTTCTCCTCCTCCCTATCTCTGATTCTGAGGACTGATCTCCACAGAATTCACTGAGTGACTGAGTAAGTTAAAACAGAAAGCAATTGTTTTAACAGTGGTGATACAGTAGCAATGGCTATAATAATGACAAAGAAAAAGAAATTAGGAAATAATCATCATAGAACATTGCATTTATTTGTAAGCTACATTACTCTTACCTAGAAATCTTAGACTACTAAGCAATGG